AACACATTTACCTGGTCCAAGCCTCATAATCTTGGGAAGCAGGCCTTTGTACAAAGCTAAAATCCTATAAGTGAAAAGAAAAAAAAAGCAACATTCTTTTTTTGAAAACAAAATGGAGTTGTACCTCAGCTCTACTGAAATGCTAACTCAGCATTTATAAAATATTTATTTGAAATTATCTTGCTAAATAGTCTCTGCAACAAATTGGACAAGGGGAAAGAGTTCATTAATTCTTCATTATCCAAGCTATGCTGGTCTTGTCCAATCAGAAATATGATTTTCATCACATGATGGTTTTTGCTTTCAAGACAGGCCTTACTTTCAAGACAGCTATGTATTTGGACAAAGTGACTTCTGTAATTGAATTTAAAAGACCAAAAACTCAGTCTTCACATAAGGAAATATGATGCAGTTTAGATCAAAATAATAAAAATCACTTGTTTACTTAGAATAAGACTTGGGTGAGGCAGGATCAAGAGACAAAAGTAAGACTTAAAAAAATTTTGACCAGCAGAATAAGGCACATATTTTAAAATTTTAAAAGAAAGATACTTTCACAGAACTCTCATGTTTAATTGTCCCAGGAGAATATGATTAGGTGACATTTTGATTAGATTTACAGACAGAAGACAATGATTCTCTTGCCCATGTGTTAATAGGGCATACGATATGCAGTAACATTTTATGCAAACTGGCAAGCAAAAAGTGCATCTAGCATTCTAAGACATATTCTTAGCAGCATATTGTAGAGTGGCGGCTCACGGTTCTTGATGGTATAAGAATGTTCTGCTAACATCTCATTATTGCATTAGCTGGCGAAGTTTGTCATCTATTCCCCAGAGCTTCTCAGACACACCCCCAATTTAGGAGGGCTTAATGGCTCTCATTATAATGGAAGGATAATATGGTTTGGACAATCCTTGAGGGTTGCTCATTTATTAAGTTAAGAATGTGTTACCCTTCTTCCTGATAGACTGTGGCCATTGTTTTAAAACAGGTTCTGTACTTGATCTCTCCAGGAACTGGCTGAGGCCCTTGAATCCTACTTTTGGCAACATCAAAAGGGATGTTAATGACTGAGGCTATTGTTCCTGAGAGAAGACCAATCCCAAATTTTCGCAAAAACTCCAAGGTTGGATCCTGAAAGAAAAGAAGAATACAATAACAGAAAGGGAAGCGGAAGCCCCTAAATCGGTTAAACACTAAAGCAATATGTATTTAAGCAGAGCACTGCGCTCCCCGGCACCCTCCTGCTATTCCAGCGGAACACATTAGGACTTCCTAGGCTGGAACTTGTTTTCTTGACAATCCCATTGGCTATGTTTTTACACATGGTCTAAATTGCTGAAGTACACATTTCCTCACACAGGATTTATAAACACAGTTCATAAAGAAAGACTGGTATGGCATATGGGGATGATTTGTATAATTGGGCTTCACAATGTACTTAGTATTACTGTATCAAAACAGGAGAAATCCAAGCACACTATTAGCTAATTGGCCAGAATATTTTACAAATGACAGCAACTTCCACCATGAAGCCTACTAAAATGCTCATTTGTGTGTGGACCCCCAAACGTTAAATTAAATCAAGGCTACTCTCGGTCTGCTTCTATTCCCCTCCAGGTTTTTTGCATTTATTTTCACGTGTAGCTGATCCACTGTACTGAGAAGTGCTAGCTTCCTGTTATTAACAAACCAACTTGGGGAGGCCGCAAAACAGCCTGTGATATTCTGTGCATTATAAACAGTAGTAAGTCACTGGACTAATTGGCTAAAGAATTCACAACCCATTGTTCCTGAATCTTATTCTTCCTTCATAACAAAGGAAGAAAAGGAGAGAAAGAGAGAGAGAAAGAGAGAGAGAGAGAGAGGAGAAAAGGAGAGAAAGAGAGAGAGAGAGAGAGAGGCTGACGGGAGAGAGAGAAACATTTCTTCTTTCCATTTAAATTTAAGTCTTTACTTTGGTCTGATTTGATTTTCCACCCCTCCCTGCTCTGCTTTCTGACATCAAAGTATTTAATTAGGTCTTATGTGGGAGTCACTTTCCTTCAGCTTATTTTCGTGCCCAAGTGAGCTCACATGCTTTGTTATAATGAATTTTCTGGGAAGTCCTCATTATGTTTTCAGCCTCAGTTCTTGCCCTGAAGACAGGTCACCTCACATACCATAAGCTGCTGGTAGAGACCCCCCATCTGTCCTCTACCCTCTCTTTTGGTCAATATTTCAGAAGTGTCTTTACAGAGGAACAATTCAGTTATGCCATGATACTATTTTATCCAACAGGAGAACTAAAAGGGGGAAACGTCTCTGCTTAATAAAAAAATAAAAATAAAACCAGGTCTAAGCGTTGCATGCTTCTAGTTCTATGCAAGAAGAAAACCTCTGGAAGCTTTGAAATTTTCAACTGAACCAAGAGCCAGATCCTATCACAGAAACTCCTATGTGGCTAGATATAAAAAGCGAGAGGTTCGGTAATAATTCTTGGATCCAAGCCATACAGGTGCCGGTAGGTTTAAAGGGATTTAAAAACCAACAGGGTGTTTCAACAGGAAAAACAATGCAGTGAGTGCAGTGTGAGTGAGGTGTGTTTAAATAATCCCCTTCCCCCCACCTTTTCTCTTTACAAGGAGAGAAAAATGCCTTTATGTTACCCTTCTCCATTATGGCACAGAGGCGGAACTGGAGCTCCGGAGGGCAGTGGATTCAGGACCAGCTCTGGTTTTCTGACCTTGCCCAAGTCCCACAGAGCCCGGTGTGTAGAAGGGATATTTTTAACACCTGCCTTACCTTTGAACTGTATGATTTTTCTAAGAAATAAAAACAACAATAGCAATAAAAGTCCTATGGGTGTTGTACAAGCCTGGCAGAAAATGGGTAGTAGTATTATGAAGCCTGTTTTCTAAAGACTGAAAACACCCTGTAATAAGACTCTCTCATGGTGTCTCTGAGGCAGCCAAGCTCTCTTTCTATTTCAGTTGAGGACATGAGTGAAAAGGAGGTTTGTACGCACATTGTCCTTCTGGGAAGTCCAGGGAACTTGTCAAACATCCAGCCTCTCTATCTCCTGATGTGTTTTTTTTAAATATACCCTTATTGATTTCAGAGAGGAACTATGTCCTGATGTTTTTTTTTTTTTAAATATACCCTTATTGATTTCAGAGAGTAAGGGAGAGGAAAAGAGAGAAACATCAATGATGAGAGAGAATCATTGATCGGCTGCCTCCTGCACATCCCCCACTGGGGATCAAGCCTGCACACAGGCGTGTGCCCTTGACCGAATCAAACCTGGGACCCTTCAGTCCGCAAGCTGACACTCTATCCACTGAGCCAAACCAGTTAGGGCTCTCCTGATGTGTTTGCTGAGGATGAGAATTGAAGGTGAAGGTCATGGTGCTTGAGATACTGTTGGAGACCAAAACCTAAAGTCTTCAAGCCAACATAGTGCCCACTGGCACTATGCCCTGACCCTGTGTTTTCTATACATTTCCCACAGTAGTTCCCAAATCCAGCTGTGCATTGGAATCACCTGGGGGCTTTTCAAAATACAGATGCCTGGGCCCCACCTCCAACCTACTTTGAGTTCCCAGATCAGATTCACCTGGAAAAGTGTCTAAAAGTTGTTTAAAAGACTTCTGAAGCTGCTAGACTGAGGATCCATGTCCAGAATCACTGATTTTGATATTTCATGCAGGCAAAGCACATGGTCAGTTGCTCTCCCTCTGGGCATTCTAGGAAGGAGAAGTCTTCTTGAGATGACCAAGAGGTATCCCTTGCCACCTGGACAGTCTCTTCCTCTGAGACCATGGTCTGCTTTATGTAGCAAGTTGGCCTGGGGGAGCCCGCTCAGCTTGCCTCCGCTTTCTTTGCTACATGTCATCTACCATCCTGAAATGAATGCAGCCTCTCAGATGCCTCTCTTCTTCATCCCCTTCATGCTACTCCCACTGCTCTGCCTTTCGTTCAGATCCCCATTACCTTCACCAGGTCTTGCTTTATCCTTGCCCTCTATTGTCTATTCTTCTCAGTGCCACCAGGATTCTATGTTTATAAAAACAGATCTGCTTTGGGTATCTCTATACTCAGAGACCTCAATTCTTCCTCACTGCATGGAGAGGAAAGCAAAGCTCCCCACTGGGCCTTTGGTTTCTTTCCTACAACATGCTTCCATCTTATCTTTGTAGCCTCAAGTTCTAAACCTTCACCCCAAACCCATACTATGGTCACACTGGCTAAATCATAATATCATAAATTTATACCAAGCTTTTTTCTAATTCCATGCTTTTCTTCAGACTGTTCCCCTAAACTAGAATGTCCTTCTCCATCATATTCACCTACAGCAGGGTCCAACTTAAATCTCACATTGCTCAGGAGACTTTTATGGATCCCTGTCAAAATTGATTTCTCCTGAAATGCTGTGTGAATAATCATTGTCCTTGCTATGGTTCAACTTGTGTTTGGTTTATTTTTGCTGTGCCTATCTTCCCTATTGGACTGTGAGTCGGCACATCATAGAAGCATGTGTTATTCCTCTTTGTATCATCTCTTGCACAGTGTATACAGTAGGAACTAAATAAATGTCTGCTGATTAGCCTATCACCATACTTATTTATTTTTACAGAAACAATGAGAATTAAGCTTAATTTTTAATCACTATTTCTCAAGACTCAGTGTCTTTTAGTCTGGAAATGAACCCCTATTAGAATTTTACATTTCTGTCTTTCTGTCCAGAGGCATTAATATGGGGACATGAGAAAACATTGGGCAAAGTGGAATATTTGAGGATAAATGAATTATTGAGAGTCTCAGGTCACAGAGCCAGGCCTGGGGTTTACTAGACGCCATTGCTCAGTGACTCACAGAAGGAACCATAATATGGCAGACTGACCAGAGTTTAGCAAAAGAATGCAATGGGCACAGAGTAGATCTTGTAATACTACTCTTTGGGCTATTCTTTCTTACAGTTCCTGCTTTTCCCCCTAGTAGCGAGAAGCACCCTTTTGCCTCAGGAATGAGGATTGTTGTAGCAGGACTACAAAGAGAGAGAAAAAGGTAACATTCAGTGGTTTTGGTTTTCAAATTAGGCTCTTCCATGTATTAATCAGTTAATTTTCATAATCTTGGAGATAAGAATTGTTACTATTATTCCTATTTTACAGATGAATATATTTAATCCAAAGGTTAAAGTATGAGAAGGGAATTTGAGTAAACTCAAGACTGCCTTAGGGCATATGTTTTTTACTGATACTTCTGAGGGTCAGCGGGTGGGCTGGTGGAGGAGGTGTCAAGAGCCTCCTGAAATTATAAGCAATGTGTAAATGGGCTTTTCTGGAGAGAGTGTCTATAGATTTTATCAGGCTCATAAAATTTAAAAACAACTTCATGAAACCATTTCCCCAACCAATAAATTTAAAAAGTAAGAAAAGGGCAGTGCAGAGTAGAAAACATGGGGGCTGAAAATAGGAAGCCCTCATTTTTACAGGGGTTATCAGGCAATTCACTTTAGTGAAAAGATTTCTGCGCATGTTTCTCTCTGGAGTCAGATTACTCATACTTCTACTATATCTATGACCCCAGTGGTTCTCAAAGTGTGGTCCCCAAAACACCATTATCGGTATCATGTGGGAACTCATTAGAAATGAATATTGGGGTTCTACTCCAGGCCTACTGAATCCAAAACTCTGGGGATAAAGCCCAGCAATCTGTGTAAACAGTCCTCCAAATTATTCTGATGGATGCTAAAGCCTGAGAACCACTGCTTAACTGAGATTATGGTCCATCTCCTTGGATCCTTGGGCCAAATAAGTGATGCTTCAAGAGGCTCTGGATGTGCTGGGAAGAATGTTAAATATTTCTTTGGTGGGAGCAAGGCTTTGTTTCTTTAAGGCTGTAGAACTCAAGGCAATGCTGTTAACTGTTTAACCTCTGCTATTCCCAGCTCAGTCCAAAGCAAGAATGCACACATCTGTGAAGTTGTTGGGCCTCAGTGATACTTATCACAAAGTCCAAATGGGTCATTTTGTACTGGCTATCAGAAAATCACTCCAACATTACTGTCAACACCATAGCTATAAGTAACAACAACAAAAAATTAATAGCAAAATAAACAGGAGCCATAAAATAATACACATGTAATGATA